AATACAGGGCGTGACAGAACAGAGATGCGAGTGGTGATACGGACGGCGTATTCCGGCTCACATAACCACGCACCGACATGCCATTGCGTTGCTCACACTCTTGTTACTGTCACGCCTGCTACAACCTCCCCTCCTGCTACAGCCTCTCCTGCTATAACCTCGCCTCCTGCTGCAACCGTTCTTCCTGCTACGTATTTCCCTCCTGCTACAAATGTCCTCCCTGGCACAACCTCCCCGCCTGCTACAAGATTTTTGCCTGCTACAACCTCCCCTCCTCCTGCTGTAACCTATCCGCCTGTAACATCACAGCCGGGCAAAGCGGGAGCAGAAGCAGCACCACCACCAGCAACAACATCAGCATCGGTGACATCGGCACCACTGGTTGCATCAGCAGCACCGGTGACATTGTCAGCATTGGTACCGAAAATCGAGTACTCAACGCTGGCATCAGTAAGAGCAACAACAGGAGCTTCGGCAGCATCATCAGCAGAAGCAGCAGCAGAAAGTGCAGCAGGAGCAGCAGCAGCAGCAGCAGCAGCAGCAGCAGCAGCAGCAGCAGCAGCAGCAGTATCAGTAACATCGTCAGCATTGGTACTAAAAACCGAGTACTCAACGCTGGCATCCGTGAGAGCAACCGGCTGGAATGTCTCACTGCCTAATCTGAGCTACCTACCTGGTAACCGTGCTGCTGCTGCTGCTGCTGCTGGTTCTGCTGCTGGTATTCATGCCGGTGCTGCTGTTGGTGCTGGTGCTGCAATTGGTGCCGCTGATGGTGCTGCTCCTGCGGTCAACAACACACCGTTTCCAGCTGCTGGGGGAATGACATTTCTGAACGAGCTTGATCAGGGGCAGAAGAGACTACAGATGGGGCATATGGGGCAGATGGGGCAGATGGGGCAGATGGGGCAGATCGGGCAGATGGGGCGGATGCAGGAGGCAATACAGCCAGTTCTTGAGCAGTCTCAGACGCCTGTTGGCCCCAACGCAGTCAAATCCGTGAGTGCTTTGGATCAGCGCGGGGGGGTGCAAGTGCAGCAGATGCAGCAGCTTAGGTTCGACATGTGGCAGAACCCGAGCGCAGTCGCTTACATGCAGCAGGGCCCTCACGTGCAGCAGGGCCCTCACGTGCAGCAGGGCCCTCACGTGCAGCAGGGCCCTCACGTGCAGCAGAGTCCTCACCCGATGCACCAGATGCGACATCCGAGCTTTGAGGCACCTCGATTGTCTGCCGCCACAAGCACACTCGCCACCATGCCTGCTTTGAAGCAGCACGAGGGCCCGCAATCGACGCAGATGCAAGGAGCTGCAGTTCAGGATATGAAAGGGTTCTCCTTGCTCCGACTAGAAGGGCAGCAGAGCCTGCAGCAACCGATGCAGCAGCACTCTCAGCAGCCAGTGCAGAAGAGCCAGAAACGTCAGTGTCGGTTGCAGGAGCAGGAGAAACACCAGCATCCACAGGTGCAGGTTCAACAGGAGTACCAGCAGCAGCCGCAACAACTGCAGCAAGAGCAGTGGCACTGGCAGCAGCAGAAGCAGCAGCATCAGGAGAAGTGGCACTGGCAACAGCAGCAACAGAAGCTGCAGCAGCAGTGGCGGCCGCAGCAGCAGCAGCAGCAGCAGCAGCAGCAGCAGCAGTCTTCTCTTCTGTGCAATGAGAATCTTGAAGGCCAACGGACAGCATGTGCTCCTGGTGTACTTGCTCCTACCACGGATGTCACCACTGGCATCACTGACATCACCACTGGCATCACTGACGTCACCACTGGCATCACTGACGTCTCCTCTGGCATCACTGACGCCACCACTGGCATCACTGACGTCACCACTGGCATCACTGACGTCACCACTGGCATCACTGACGCCACCACTGGCATCACTGACGTCACCACTGGCATCACTGACGTCACCACTGGCATCACTGACGCCACCACCGCTGTCACTGATGTCACGGCTGGTGTGACGAATGTAACACCTCATGTTTTTGCTGCAACAGTTGCGCACATTCCCACTGTTACCCCAGACACACTTGCTGTTACCGCATGCATTTCAGATCCTCCTTCACGCAGCTACAGTGAAGCAGCCTACATGGCTCACCCAACTGCTAATCCTTCTGTCCTGCCAGCAGCGCTCCATTCTGTCCCTGCTGCTCCTGTAGCTGACTCTGGTGTTACAAGCAATCGGTCTGGTGTTATCAGCAATGGCATTGGTGTTACCACTGAATCTTATGATATTCTTGGCCCTCAGTTCACTATTCCTCCTTGGGGGTGCGACCCTTGTGCTGGTTCTCGTATCTGCCAGCCTGCCAAGGATGAACCAGTTTGTCAAAGCGAGGCTTGGATGGATCCACCAAATAATGTTGTTGCCACGTCAGCGGCACTCAATGGTGCTGAGGTGTCAGCATGTGGTGGTGTCGCCACGTCGGGGTGTGGAGCCACTCCCTTTCTGCAGATGCCAATCGAGGAACTCAGGGATTGCCGTCTGCAGCACATGTCCCACTCCCAGCAGCATTTGCACCGCTATCAGCCACAGCAGCAGCACCTTCAGCAAGCTGTTCCGGTCCAAGCAGCAGGTTACATGGTGGATGGTGGGGCCAGCATAAACCGCAGGAATAGCAGCAGCTGGAGCTGCACCCACAGCAGCACTGTCAATTCCGTGAAACCAGGGACTGGCCTCTTGGGTGTTACTTGTAACGACTTTGCCAACGCTTTGACGTACGATCGAATCGTTCAACGTAACAGCACGACCAGCAGCGGTGGCAGCATGAGCAGTCCGGGTTGCTCTGTGGCCGGATCATCACCGCATGATGAAGCTGATGTGGGAGAATTATTGGAAGCTTCTGTTGCAGACGTGTCGTTGGATGAGCTTTACTTGGCTCGAGAAGACATCGGCATGTGCGAAGCCACTATTCAGGATTTCAGAAGTGATGTGCAGACTTGTTGTGCAGGGTTGTGACAATATTGATACCGTAGTATATTGTCCGATTGTCTAGGAGATGAGATAAAGTAGTGGCAATGTGAGGCACCGCTTCTGTGCATAAGCAAGATGACTAGATACAGTGGGTTCGCTAACGCAGTGTACAAGTGTGGTTTAGTACAGCTGCGCTGGCAGTCGAATAAACCTTCCAAACTCTCAAAGCCTCAGTGCCAGTTCCAGCTGCACCTTGTGCACACTGAACCGCCCTTTCGGAACACATCCAGAGATATCCTTCAGGAGCAATGGTTGATCTACATGGCAGCAATGGTTGATCTACATGGCAGCAATGGTTGATCTACATGGTCAGAACATTGTTTGTCGTTACCTAAAATAAGTTACCCTTGTATCTGATGCAAAACACGCTGGCATACTCTGATTCTGAGAACTGTGGTTGAAGTGGTAACCCCAGAACTGACTACAAGCCCGTTTTGGCCCTAAATGGATCATGCAAGAATGAGGAGCAAGTTTCAGATAAATATAGGGGAGTGAAAAGGGCAGAAGGTGTAGCCCTCCCTCAACCGGTGCACTGTACCTTGATCCTTGATAAAGTGCCAGGTGTACCCCAGCCTTATCTCCTCCCCACCCCACCCGACCCGTCCGACGACATTCCCTACAAGCAAGGTACCCGTCTACAGTGGTCACGACAGCACTGCTTTCTCAACAGCTCCACTGTCTGGCCTTCCCCACTGTCCCCATGTGTTAGATAGCACCACTTGCAGCTTCTAAGGACCACAGTGTTGCTATTCTTAGCTCCATCGCTGCTCCCATTTCCAGCGCACTTTCGGTAATACCCTAATTGTACCACAATCCTCAAAAAAGAAGGCGGGTTGGGTTCAGCCCACCAACGAGGCGAGTTGCCTGCTCTGTCATTCTGAGCAACTTTGTCGTTGCTTGCTTACTCAGCAATGCTCTTCTCAAGCCCGACTTTGCAAATCATGGTTCCGCAGTGTCCCTTCGCTCGCGTGCGTGCTGTGCACTTCAACCTACGAAACAGTGGCATGCTTTCAAAAGCGCAGCTGAGCGCCTGGCTGCAAGTTTCCTGCCAAAATTAGGTCAGAATAATTCGATAGTCCCCGCGGCCCAGAGCATGTTCGCTGCTCCTTTCGCGGACAGCCTACCAGCATTCATTAGTGACGTTCTACGCATGCACGAACGGCCTGCATCGGGCGGGTACTGGGACTTTTTGCAACCCAGAGAGTTTCACTCTCGTATGGTGCCGCATCATGTAGTATAGTCATCGTGGTCAGATTGATGATGGTCCCATATTCTCGTATGGTGCCCCATCAAGTTGATCCCTCATGTCACGTGGACGGTCCATTCTCAGGTCCGCTCGCCGACTACACGTGTATCTTTGGATTGAATGTCATGATCCCTCGCATCGCATCAGTCGCGTGCTCTCACGTTCATCGGATTGAATCGTAGTATACACAGTGGTACCTAAAGCACTTCATCAACCCCTTCCCAAAGTCATCTTCAGAACCCCTTTATCAATCGTAACCTAGTCACATCCAGAACCAAACGCTTGCTCCTGATGCACGTTCCCTGATTCTTCCCTTCCGCTCCCAAGCTGGCCCACATTTCCTCTAATTGCTACTATTCGTACTAAGGTGAGTGACTCACTCCAAGTTCGGAATTTCCGCAGCTTCAAGATCCGTTTCAGGATCTCCTGTCAAATGCAGCGACATTCAGTGACCTCTTGAGATTCCAGTGACCTCCAGTGGCCTTCTGAGACATTCAGTGACCTCCTGGGACCTCCTGGGACCTCCTGTGACCTCCTGTGACTGTGAATTCCAAGACATCCTTGACACCCATTGACTCCCTGTGACTTCTAGCAACATCCAGTACATCCTGTGACATCCAGTAACATCCTGTGACATCCAGTAACATCCTGTGACATCCAGTAACATCCTGTGACATCCAGTAACATCCTGTGACATCCAGTAACATCCTGTGACATCCTGGTGCCTGCTGCCACAGGAGCAGAGAGATGAACGGTCATGATGGAGTTCACCCATCATTCTATCATCTTAATCCGCAGCGTCACCAGCAGCAGCAGCAGCAGCAGCAGCAGCAGCAGCAGCAGCAGCAGCAGCAGCAGCAGCACCAACAGCAGCATTGCCCACAGCAGCAGCAGCAGCAGCAGCATTGCCAGCACCAGCACTGGCAGCAGCAGCACCAGCAACAGCAGCAGCAACAGCAGCAGCACCAGCAGCCATTCGCAGAGCAGCAGGAGCAGCACCAGGAGTCCCATGCATTGTGCAACGGCTGCCAAGGCGAAGGGTTTCGATGGCGGAAGGCATCGCACAAACGGATCGTTGGGCAGCAAGTGAAAAGGTATCTTGAGTAAGGCTAGTACCAGGCCCATCACCCCTTATCTCCCTCCGCCCTTTTTGACACATAATTGCTTTGCTGGATTGAGTTGCAGGATATGCCGCAACCCTAAGGGTAAGTGAGCCACCCTTGAGGCTTTGGCTGAGCTCATCAGTCAGGGAATCGTATTCGTCCGGATTTTCAACAGCAGGGGTTTTTTTAAACCAAATTTCATGTTTGTCTCTGCCGTCCTTCTCTGCCGCAGGATCTACTTCGTCTGCGCATTCAAGCAACTCACGGGCTGCCCGGCGAAAAAAACGGAGGACCGGGTGGCTGGGGAGGCCCGGCCTCGCCGCCACAAGCCCCAAGGCGCCGTCTCAAAGGCGAGAAGCTCTGCGAAGCATCCATCTTCCACGAACCACTCGGCTGCTGGAAGTGAC